CTATGTCTTTGATGATAATATATTATGTCTTTGTGCTAGAACATTGTGTTCATTGGCGAGCGAGCGCAGCGAGCCATGGTTCACGGCGTGAACCACATAGGATTGCGTAGCAATTCTCGGGGGTTGGCGAGCGTTAGCGAGCAGGGGGTGGAGCCTCCCAGTTTCTTTTAATAACAATAATATAAAAAGATAATAATAAAAAATATAACTGACTACTCGAAATTAGCAATTCTAGAGCTCCAATATGAATCAACAGAATGTGTAAAAAATAGAATGAGTAAATAAAATAATGTTTCTTCTTAGAACTAGTGACGCCATCTGCTGGCATTTATTGAAGTTACGGTCCACCACAATTAGTATAACTGAAACATATTTGCGGTAAGAAATTAAGAGTTATAAATAGATTTTTGTTTTCGATTTACTGAATTAAAGAGTCTACATTATTGAAATAAAAGAAAGTTAGAATTACATTCATTGTAAAGAAAAGAATAAATTATATTATATTCTCTTTTTATAAAATGTAATAAAAATTAAATAATTGGTTTAATTTAATTGAAATTCGGTTAAGAATGATGAGAAAAAAAAATTTGAGAAATTAAAGATATATTGAAAGCTAGGAAATAGGTAAAGCCTATTGTGGCATCACAGTGATAAATCAAGTGAGTAGCAACCATGCATTTTGTGAGGTTGCTAAGTGTTATCTTAAGAACAAATTTGACAGATTTACAATGTTTGAACATATGCTGTTACATATGAGATTTTTGAACGGATTTTAGATATTTTCGCTTCGCTGATTTCAAAACTCCAATCGCCTTCTCTCCACAAGCTACAGTTTTTATACAATAATATATTTCTAACCAGGATATTATAAGAGGCACTCGAGTAACTACTCAATGTCACAACTTATCTGTTACGTAGGGAGTGGTAGAGAAGCTGATAATATACCTCACAATACGATCATAGGTTTTTTTTGTTTTGTTTTAAGTGTCATTTTCAAAGGAGCAAACAAGTGTAGTGTGAATGGCTGAAATAGGTGGTTGTTGACTACCACCTATGAGTGTTAACAATCACATAGTCGCTTCGGTAAATGTCCGAAACATGTAATAGGTCTAGTTAAGTGCCATTGCCCGGTATGCATTTGACCGGTATACCCTACACCAGGGATGGGCAAACTACGGCCCGCGGGCCAACTGTGGCCCTCTGGAAGATTTTATCCGGCCCGCGGATAGAATTTTTATTTGCCGATCAGTGGCAAATATAAACAATATACATCCATTTTCTTGTCGACTATGTTTAAAATTATTTCTGTTTTTCCTTTTT